TCTCATACTTTACCTCTTTTTTAAAATTATTTATATAAGAATTACAGGGACCAGTATTTGGTCTTTTGAAACTTCTAACCAGAAGACAAGCTGACCAGATGTTTGGTCTCATGCAGCAACAGTTCTAAGGTCATGTCAAGTTACAGCTGCATGATAATTTTTCAGTTAAGATCTACAGCAGATTTAACTGACCTTTTGACCAGATAAATGTAAGTCATACAAACTAAAAAGGTTTGATTTGATTATTGACAACTAAACCCTCACCTCAAAGAAAATTGTGTAGTTTTATGTACTGACAGTTTACCAGTGGCAACTAAAGTACACTTCCAAACATAATTTGAAAAATAAAAAAAACATATATTCTTTGCCTGTACAAGCCATAAATCTCACAGTTCTTAAGGCAAAAAGTAGTCTTTGTCAAACGATGTGTATACCAAGCAGAATGTCTGTATGCAGACTTTATGTCGTACTTTATGTTTGTGCAGACATGCGTGTCCTTGATTTTCAGACAGCGAAGCGTCAACGCTCCCTGCATAAGATGTCTAACATATTGAGAAGTTGGAGAGGTTCTATGCCCCAGAATTTAGTGGAAAACTATCAAACACAGTAGATGCACAGTATAAACAGACCACCTGAGGTCAGCTGTCAGCAGTCAGAGTTACACAGATCCAGTAAGACACCGCTATTTTGAATCTACTGACACAGTAATGTGTGCACAAGATTCAATGATCCCAGTCTTTGTGCACTTTTTTAAGTCACGTTTTTCCAATGCAAACACAGAATGAGTGCCACACATGATACGTTGAAGTTAGGCAGTGCTTCAAGGCGAGTTACAAGGTCCCATCGCTCCAGTGTGTGGACCATTCCTTTTTATGGACAATTCCTGACTTTTCAGTCTGAAACTGTGGCCGATCCTCACGGGGAATCTTTACCGCATGGTACTGAGGCAGCTTGTCTTTGTAGTGGGCACGTTGGAAGAAACCACACTGGTGACAAATAAAGAAAAGCAAAGAAATTTAGACAGAGTAGGAAAAGGAGAGACATGGAAGAGAAAAAGAGGAAGCAAAAACAACATTTAAGTGGACAGATTATTAGCTTTATTCGAGACAATTGTTCTTCTATTTAGGTTACTGACTCTACCTTGTAATTTTTCAGAAGCTTAAAAAAGAACATCGCCATGCTGTGTCTTTAAGCATATAATGCCTGTGATAAACTCACCAACACATTAAATTGCTATTAGAAAATAAACGCTCAGTAAAATAAAACAAACACACAATGGTTCTCATTAAAGTTCATTCTGGCAGCTTGGTCATAAGGTACAATTAAGACATGATTAAAAAGTGTTGATTAATATAGACTGATGCCAAAATGAACAGGTGCAGATGATTATAGAGGGAGAGGCATCACACACAGCACAGCAGGCATGTTAAAGTCCTGATGGGACCATGGCTGGATGGTGTTCAACAGGCACAATACGAACAGGAAAGCTATCGGCAGCTTACTCTGAGACCAACAGCCTTTTAATGTTCAACAATCCAATAGCAAAGTAGGAAAGCCCCGGACTTTATGTTTAAAGGAGAGAAAATGTGTTTACCTGCTACTCAGTTTATTTAAAGGAACATAAGCTGAGTGTCTAAGGTGCCAGTAAAATATTTGAATGACCATTTTACCATAAAATGGCCCATTCATTAAACAAAAGTTATCTTATAAGATAAGCTGAAAAAAGCAAAAAAGCATTTTTCTTTAGAACTTTGTTACAGCTGTTTGTCTGTGCAGCAGTAACAGTCACTGTTTTTCAGACGCCTCCTTTTCCATTTTTTATAACTTTTATTAGGTAGGAAATGTACTTTGTTGAGGTAACAAAAAGATCTTTGATATACATGAAAAAAGCCTTACCAACCCCACATTTTCTAAACAAAAGAGGAACTACAACTTAACACCACCATTAACCAAGGGCTAGGCTTTGTTCAGTATTAAATTAAAAACAGGGACAACGCGGTCATTCTTTAAACTGAGCATCCTTTTATTCCTTCCTTTCACACACTGTTTTATTTCTGTGGCAACCTGAATCAATACCTGCTACTTTGGAAGAGACCGATACCTTTTCATTATATACAATATAACTTCTCACTCTGTTTAAGTATGTTATGCACCAAAAATGACTTTGGATTTAAAGATAAAGGTTTGTTTGCTTTGTTATTAAACGTCATCAGTAACGTTTAGTTATTGAAAAGATTCCAAGCACAGCAACAAAATTGAAAGGAGCAAAAGGGCTCCACCAAAATATTTCAATTCTATTGTGATATTTGCGCCAAAGACTTGCTGATTTTTCATGCAATGAACACCACCGGCCTCAGAGTGGGTCAAGGAGCAAAATCATTGTGCAAAAGGATTTTTACCGCTTGGAGGGAGAGGAGGAGGGGAGAGCAGGCCAGATGGAAACAGTTTTGATATTATAGTTCTGATGCCTGCTTCTCCACCTCCGAGGGCTGGACCCCCAAATGTGCACGGTAGTACTCCGTCTCATAGTGTGGGTGCCGCTCACTGCGCTTGAAAAACCCACACTGGGACAACAGATAACCCCAGGGAGGTGGGGGAAGAAGAAGAGATGCAACAGAACGAGGATTTGGAGACAAACAATTCCAGATGGAATTAAAAGGAGACAAAACAGAGAGAAATGACAGACAGAAGACAAGACATGTACAGAAGGGAGGAAAAAGGATGAGAGTGAGCTATAAGGAATGGCACTGTGACAGGACAGTTCAGAGCAAAGATGGGAAATGACTCAACTACTATGTTGAGTGGGAAAAAAATGGTAACGCAATGCTAAGTGTAGTGATTGCCATAATATGAGTGAAACCTTTACGGAGTCCTCCTCAATTCTAAGCAGAACGCTACAAATTTTCTTGCTCGACAAAATAATGCAGAAAGACAGAATAATGCTTATTTTTAAAAGTACCCGTCGACAGTCTATGTCAAATATATCAATATATACAAATTTGTATAGTAACTAAGAACAATGACATACTCTAACTATTAAAATATAATTGTAATCCATATCTCATTTTCAGTATTAATATGCATTTGTGCTCTGTTTTCCATGATTTTACCATTATAACATTAAAATGTTGGGTCCTGTTAGAAATAAAGAACTGTGATTTGCCTGAAACACTGAAAACCAAGAGAAGATTTTGATTTAAAGATGTATAAAAAGTAAAAAAAATACAAATTTTATGTATTACCTTCCAAAGTATACAGACAAGGAGAGTTAACAGCAGAATGCCGGCCAGAACAGCTATGAGGATGATCCACCAAGGGATCCAGTACTGGTCAGCAAGACCGGGCTCAGGATAGATCATCACTGGAATCTGTAGATGAAGGGAGGGTTAAGTGTGCAAAAGTGATTCATATGAAAATATTTCACATTCTTGTGTCAGTGCTTTTGGAGTTCCCGGGAAGAACATGCAGACCCCACAGAAGATCCCCATCATTTTGATCCAAACATCTGATTTTTACCCGAAAAATTGTCTTCAAATTGCAGAATAAAAAACAAAAGTGGGCCGAGTACCTGTGCAGCAGCTTCTCTGAGGACCAGGTGCTTGATGCTGGACTTGACAGTGATGTTGGCTCTGACAAGCAGCTCCAGCGCACTGACCGAAGAGAACTCCTGAAAAACAAAAACAGAGCCACACATTTTACAGTAACAAAGAGGGATGCACTGGTATATCTGCCTCACATCAGTCTTGGAGGACTGAAAGTGTTCATAAATGAATTCTCATTCTACTAGTCAATACAATTGGTAGACTATGATGTATTTCTGTGTCGTTAATGGGAAAAGAAAAAAAAAAGTTTTGTTGCATAATATGCTAATTCAATTAAGATTTCATTCTGTGTGTATTGGCCAATGTGACATTGGTTAAACCAGTACATCATATTAAACTCATGCTATTTGAGGAACTTTTGACAAACATCAATCTGTGGCTAAGTGTCTATTAGTACCACATAGGTACATAGTGCCAACTCTGTGGGTCAAAGTCGAACAGGATTGTTTGTACCTCTATAAAACTGCTGTTCCACAGCCTGGCATGGATCTTAAGGACAGCCTGTCCAGAGAAACTGTGGAGAGGACACTGAAACAGCACACAACGTGCTGACCCAAGAAGGCAGTCCTGGAGAAAAAAATGATAAGAGGACACATCGAATTGTATCTTTATCTTATTGTTGGGAGAGCACTGACAAGAAAAACTAACACAGCCTGCATCTCTTCTTTTGAGCATTTGCCATAAAGATGGATAGTTGTGGTTATCTGCAGATCCGTACCAGTTTAAGCGATCTGCGTCTCTCTGAAGCTGCCACAGCTGGCATGGTTCGCACCACACTGCCTTTTGCTATCACTTGATCCTCCTCCTCAGCATGAGAGCGCCGTTTCCTTCCGGCCTGTAAAAATAGAAGTAATTATGCACGTTCAAGATAAAAGCTGTTTTGTGTTCATGTTAGGTGGTGCAAATCATTAAGTTTAAGGTCAGATTATTTCAATAAACATTTTTAAATATGTGTCTATGATCATCCACTCAATGTTTTTCAGGAATTTTATAAGCAACCTAACACCAAAGAGCACCCTTTTGTGTTCTATCCTGAAATAGCAAAGGAAATAAAACACAGGAGCTACAATTTTTCTAAATGTTTGCTTGGTCAACAACATTTTCCACAGAAGTTAGAAATAAAGTGCTCTGCTCACTGCCTCATTAGTGGGAAGTGGAAGCTCTGTCGACGAGCTCTGTAGCTTCAGAGGATTCAAGGCTCCTGTTGGAGAGCAGTGTGTATCTGGGTGGCCTTCAAACTTCAAGCTGGCAGGATACAGGAGCCATTTCTCATTGGTCAGCCCGTAAGGCCACATTACGTTGAGGAAGGCAGAGCCAAGCGTCTGAAGAGTTTTCCCAGTATTTGAAACCTGATGGAACAAAATGCATGCAGTCTTTGATGTTGAAAAAGCTCAATGATTGAAATATTCATTTCTACACAAATATTTCACGTCCACAAAAGACGATACAATCAGATATATTTTTCCATTTCTATTATATGTCGATGATGAGGTTTGAATAAAATTAATCACTTCAAAACACCCTCACCACAAATTCAAAATCCACTGGGCTGCCGATGTCCTCCAAGCTGGCCATTGCACTTTCTCCCCTCACTTCCCCGCTGAAGAACAGCTGGTGAGGACGGGCCAGTCTACAGAGAAGTAGGACCAGATCCATGCATCAGTCAGCTGTATGCACGGCCTCAGCTTCATGCCACCATACTGAACACATCGTTAGCTTTCTTTCTCTCTCTGGTAAACAACGCTTTGACAGCATGACTATCAATTCCACTTTAAAGATCTGTAGGGGACTCAGATCTGACATTTCACACTTGTGCTGTTGATCCGAAAGGCTGAAGAGAGAATAAAGTCCCAATAAAAAAATACGGTAAAAACATTTCACTCACCCACTGACAGACAGAGGGAGCTCTATCACAACTTTAGCGAAGGCTTTGATGGGGTGCAAATCAGGCTGCTCACTTATTCTGAGGACAAACAGGGATGGTCAGGTTAAAGGTTAAAGGTTATTCAGTCTAATAACGCCAAACATGTCCAAGGAGATATCAGCAGCCGATTCTCACTCTAACAGATAGATTATAATATCAGGGGGGGATGCAGGGACCTTACGTTGTCAGTTGGAGGTCTGCTGTCAACTCTGTTGTCTCAATGGTAATGTTTGATGTGCTTAGATTGATGGAGAACTTCAGCTGAGAGACAAACACAGACACAATGATAAAGTGAATGGAGTATTGTTTACAATCCCAACCCAAGTATTGTTTAAACACAACCTATTCTCACTGTATGAATGACTGTTTCTGCATTGTTTGAAATGACAACATATTTGTGTATTTTAAACATATTTGGTTTTACTGTATACTCTGAAGATGTAAGAAAGAATGTATAATACAGGAGTATATATCTATATCTGTACATTTTTAGAGACAGAAATCTTTCATTACCCTTGTGTTTCGTTTGACAGGGTTTCCCAGGTCACATTCAACTTGGGAGCCATTCTGATTGGCTTGACATCTCATCTGCAATCAAGAAATCAAACAAATACCATAACACGAGTGGAAACGTCATTTTCTTGTATATAACATCCTCCATCAAATTCCATTTAAACAAACCTGTGGAGGGACCCTGGAGCCAGCATATGACAGCGTGTTTGGAAGGGAGATAAGTAGCTGAGCGGCATGAGCATCATCCCCATCTTCCTCGGGGTTAAGAGGGTCAGAGGGCATATTGGTGACAATTATCTCCAACACTACCACTCGTTGATCTGATAGAGAAAACACCTGCACATCATCCTCGTCTCTAGATGAAGCAAGACAGTCAACGAGGGGCAGAGATTAGATATGTTCTTATCCATGTCACGATGAATAATCAATCATTGTTGCTGAGACAAGAAACTTTGCTGCACTCTTTTGTAACGATACACCAAACGGTGTTGTGTCGTCGTTGACAGACAGTGGAATCCAGATTCAAATCCACCAGACACACACAGATGAGTGTGCAGGGACAGCACTAACCTTGGCAGTGGGGTGAAGTAGTCAGAGTGCAGGGGCCGGGTTCCAAACTGGTACCTCAGCTTGAGATTGCTCTGGCAAATTTTGTCATTGCCACATCCCTCTCTCAGAAAGTTCACCTTCAAAGTTTAAAGGAGACAAATGCTAGGTTTAGGGAGTATATTCACATGTAGTTTGAGCTGTGGTGTATTTGAAAAGAAAAGTTCACTAAAAAGTCCAATCCTGTGTCAGCAGCACAGTAAAAT